GGTTGTAATGCACTTCGGGAAAATCGTTTCGTCGAAAGACTCGTTTGCCACTTTAGACTGTTGGAACCCCCTTAATTTTTATACTGGCGTGTTAACCATGAAGAGGCCAACTCATTTTTCCAACACCCACACCTTTGGAGCTCCCTGCGTGACCAGAAAATGCTTTCGATGAAGTGCTTTTCGGCGACGAACACACTTACCTACTCATAGTTTACAATTAAAATCTAAAATAGACTAAAATAGACAATGCCCCCTTCTCAACATATAAGCAACTAACCATATAAATACAAGATTTCATATTGTGATCAAAAATAATATATTGCAGATTGGAATTGAAAAATCATTTGAATAAACAAAAAAAAAGAGACTATTTTTGCATACGAAGTAATATCGTGACTGTACATATTCTATGTGAATAGAAAGAAAAAAAATCATTTTTTACTCGTTTTTTTTAATTTTGTAAAAAAAAGTAGATGTAATTTTTACGAATCAATTTAAAACAGAACAATGTAAATTTTATGAGAAAAAATAAGGCAACGTTTCCTTTACCTGAAAAATCTCATTGACTAGTAGCTATTAGTATATTAACTGTTACAAGACAATATATAAATGTTTCAGAAAAACTTACCATTCATTTCTCAATGAAAACAAACATACAATAGGCTGGCAATACCTGGAATTCCATTGCAATATCATCAACACTGAATATCTATAAAATTCAAAATCAAAAAAGTACTCCATGAAATAAATGTTAAGAAATAAGCATCGAGTTGCAAAAATATCATGATTTATCATACAATGTGATGATCAAAATAAAATCAAAAAAGAGCACATGATCAAAGAATACAGCAGATAATCAACAAAATAAATACCATCTTAAACAAACATCATCGTTACATACCGATATCTGTCGCCATGAATTGACATTCACAACAATCCATAATAAATCGAAAAATATTCTGACAACAAAATATTACCATACAGAAGAACTAATCATGAACGCAATACTAAACTGATATCCATAATAAAACATAAAGGCTTCATCGATGATCAAAAGCTGTAGATAAACCTCAGTTCCACAAACCACGATAGAAACGAGGCTTTCTCTAGAAATATTCAGCAATACCACCGCCTTCTACAACACTAACCATCGTAAATTGTAACTAAATATATTCTATATTAAAACATTATTTTCTGTGTGAATTCTTCAAAACAAAACAAAAACTCTATTTAATGCTCCTAATTCGTTAGACTTTACCTAAACCAGAAACACTTCATCCCGATACATATTACGCAGTATCATGAATTATACTCAATAAGATATACTCAATACTAAATATGAGAATATTATTTCATAATAATGCATTAGTTCTATTCAGAGATAAAGATATCATATGTTAATGTAGAAAAAACAAGCAAAATAGATAATGAAAATCATTACAACAAAAAAAGAATACTTTGAGAATACTGCTGAATAATAATGAATTCAATCGTAATAAGGATAATCACTCATGAATAACTGAATATCAAAAATTTAATGTAATCCAAGATAAAAATGAGAATATGATTTCAGAATAATATATTTTTAATGTATTAAAACCAATGAATAACATGCATGAATATAAAACTATTATGAAGTGAAATAGTTCTGGAATGAATTCTGTCACTAACATGAGAATGCTATTTGATATCAATTGCTTGAGCTTTGAACAACAAAAAAGTAAAATATATTTGAAGATATAAATAAGATTATCCTAGACAACAGTAAGGCATTATAATGCAATAAAAAATATAATCAATACCGAAAGTTAAATTTTTGGAAACGTAACAAGTTCTTTAAAATCAAAACCGATAATAAAAATTGTACTCAACAGTAATGCATTATAATGCATTAAAAAATATAATCAATACCAAAAGTTAAATTTTTGAAATGTAACAAGTTACATATATTTGAAAATGATAATAAAAATCATACTCAACAGTAATGCATTATACTGCATTAAATATAATAAACAGTATCATAACATTGATTAAAAAAGTATTAAAAAGAAATAAATACAATCGATAATATCAAAACATTGAATAATAATGCATTATAATGGATTAAATATAATAAACGATATGATAACATTGAAAACAAAATGTATTATAATGCATTAAATACAATCAATATCTAAAATTATCATAAGGTTGAACAATAATGCATTATAATGCATTAAATATAATAGACAATATCAAAACATTGAATAATAATGCATTGCAATGCATTCAAAACTAATGATCAGAGAACAAAAAGAAAGAAGGCATGTCTGGATGATGATGCAATTATTAATAGTATCGGATGTGTAAAATAATTGCTTTTTACCAATAAACAATCTGTATAGGTATTTGATAGAATAGTACGATTGAAAAACTGTTTATTTTAATTTTGAAAATTCGAAGAAGATAATCATTAGAATATGTATGGATTCTATTGATGATTAGATGATCAATTAGTAACATCCTATTCAATCAATTATGTCTACTTAAATATGTTAATGAGTGGATTGTTTCGATCGAATATATAAACAAGTATTCCTATCATAATCATACTTTTCACGTTTACTCGCTTGAAAAAGAAAAACAATTCGAAAGGCCTCGCGTTAATAATTATTTATTTATTTATTTATTTAATTCTTCTCTCATTCGATTCTCTTTTTTTTCTTCTCTCTCTTGTTCATATCTCTTTTCCAATAAAAATAAATCAAAATTAAAACAAAAAATATTTAAAAAATTTTAAAAAATTCATGTTGATTTGTTATTTTTGTAAAAATTGTTATATATAATTAATCGTCGAACCATAACCATTAATACGTTCGCTCAAAGAATCAACATGAATGTACCATTTTATTCTGAAAATACTCACTCTCGTTCTGCCCATATGTCTTCAATACGTCAACCTTCGGTAACGACTCGAACATCTTATATACATTTATGTCCTCATGTTAATAAGAAGCCTAATCTATTCGGTGCTACTCAACGAAAACATTCTCATCCTTATCATAAATTCCAAACTGGTTCAACAACGACATTTTCTGGCTACACTAATATAACTGGTACCTTTACAAAACCAAATCATCAAATTCATAATGTTCAACCAAAATCACAATTACATTCAAATAATACTAATGATATACGTCCACTCATGTCTATTAATTGTTTTCAAGAACCTCCAATAAAAAATCGTCGTACTTTACAACATGCTGAAAAATATCGAAATCAAGCTTCACCAATGATAGAATGTTATGCAAATGATAATTTCAGAACATCATCAACATTAAATCAATTGAATGGAATAATTCTATCCGATTCTATGTGTAAATATGTATGTCCAGATAAAGTAAGTTCTCATGGTATAAAGGTAAATATATCTTTTGAATCTGGTTGTGACTGCAACCGGATGCTTGACTTTCTTGAAAAACAGCAACAAATGATTAATAATGACATTAAAAAAAATGATTTTTTTGTTTTTTCTTTATGTACAAATGATGTTGCTAATGTAGGAGTAGATATTGCTATCGAACGTTGTCGTTTTCTAATACAACGTACTCGTCAACTCTTTCCTCAAATAAAAACCATTGGATGGCTTGCACTATCGCCAAGAACGAAGCCATCGAGATTATATAGTTCTCTAGATATCAATCAATGTTATAAAAAATTCAATCAACTTCTTTATAATCTATCAAATGAAATGAATTTTAAAATGATTAATGCCAACTTACAAGAACCACATATGCATCAAGATGGACTTCATCCATCGATTGAATCAGGTCGTATTATTATTGAAAGAACTCTACATAGTTGGTTTGCACAACAAAAAAATCTTTTCCCATCTATTTCTACACTAGATAATCATTCCAACATACCATTTGTAACAGCAAAAACAACACAACATCACAACCAAACATTTAAATCAACACACATCCAACGACAAGAAATATATACAAATAATCACCAACCAGATATGAAAATGCACCATAAACAACAACATAATAATAATAATCATAATATTAACAATGTTAACCAACAATATTACAACCGACGCAATAACAATAAGACAAATCATCAACATCAGATTAACATTAAAAATAATTATACTAAGAACAATCAACATCAAAGAAATATTAATAATAATAATAATAATAGGAAAAACAATTATTATGATCATTCTAATATTATTAAAAAAAATCATCGACAACATAGTAATATCAATGATAACAATAATAATGATGAAAACAACTTTCAATATCCATCGAAGAAAAATACAAACAATATACAAAGTAATACCTT